CAGTCACCTGGCTGGTCTGGTTGGATTTCATGCACACTTTCCATCCAAGATGATCTTGCCAAAAGTACCTATCAGATCTTATTAAGAAATTAATTTCCAACCTTGTAATACAGAACCAGAAAAAAAGATGTATAAAGAACTCAACATTCATCATTACATTTTCAGAAAAGTCCTCAATTTAAGGGATTTAATTCATTATTTTTATTTTTGAGGTTTATAACACCACCAATAAATCTCTGAAGGATTTGGACCCCCTCTTGCACACTGTCTGTTTATGCTGGAGTCAGATGGCTAAGCAGAAGAGCTCTGGTTTTGCTAAAATTTATGTATGGGTATGAAATCCAAAACCAAATCTGTGCATGTAAATAGGCAGTAAACAAAAACCTGCAAAACCAACTCCCACAGCATGAGCAGAAATTGCATAACCATAACCAGAATATCCTGCCACATTTCAAGAGCCATGAGCGTGGCTGGTGCCCTTTTGAACAGCTACTGACTCCAAGCAGGGGTCTGCGATTACCCCCATACCAAAGAGGTCTGTGGTTATCCCTGCACCAAAGCTGCACATATACACTGCACACACACACCAAGTGGATTTGCAAGCACTACAGCTTCAGTGAGAGGTAGATGATGCTTAACAAGAACTCAGGTTGTTTATTTAAAGAATGAAAAACTCATCCATTTTCACTATTCTGTGAAATGTAGAGAGGTTGGCTCAGGTCTAACATACCCATGTGGTGCAGAGCAAGGCTCGGGATGGTGTCCCTGAAAGACAGTGACAGAGGAAGAATGCTCATAAAAGAAGACATAGCAGCAAGATAAACTATCGGAACTGCAACAACAAAGACAAATTGCAGTGAAGTCAGAGATATATGAGGGAAGGAAAAGCAACCAGCTGGGCTACAAAGAGATTACGGCAGGTGCAATGTGCTCTGTGCAGCTGCTCAGCAATCAATTAGCCCTGCATGTGTTTGACCAGCACCTCTCAGGTGCTGCCTTGCTGTCGAGGCACAAGTGGCCCTGTACAGCCTGTACCTGTCTGCCACCAACATGAGAAATTGTGCTGCAATGCCACTGTCACTCGAGAAGCTTTGTAGCAAAGAGAGACATTTAACCCAAATTTTGTTCCCAACTGCGATCATTCTTTGAATAATGACATCGATACCAAGAATTTTTGTAGTAGGTGAACTATAATATAGATAATGAGCTGCAAAATCAGGTATTTAGATTTCCAGCTTCAGTATTTTTCTCTTCTGTCTGGAATTTTGTAACTGAAAGCCTAGTTCAGAATATCTAACTACATTTTTGACATTTGCTGTCAATGAAATAGCACATATGAATTTTGTCTTTCTTTGTCTTCTTTTTAAATGAGATGTCCAATGAGAAAATAAGTTAATGATCATCAACTGAGACATTGATCATAAACAAAGATTCACTCAGGGAGGGGAAAAAAGAGTATCCCTCTGTGGGTTTTATTTCTCAAAGCAAAATGAATTCTTCTTTATGAAACTATGGAAGAGTCCCAAATGTAAGGGTAAGGAATAAATAAATAAATAAATAAATAAAATAAAAATAAAGGAGTCAAAATTGAGAAATTCCTTTTTCTCAGAGATTTTACTTTATCAAATTGTTAAAAGATTCTCCCAGTGACCTGGCAGCTAATGTACCAATAAAAAGATTACTTTCTTGACCTCTAGAGATTTCTAACAACTCACCAGCTACCATACCCAAACTCCCTCCCTCCTTCCATGCCTTTAGGGAAGAGTTTATAAGTTATCAGCCTATCTCCTGGAAAGAGCACATATGTTATCAGCCCTAGCATTGCCCCTTCTTAGGAGTCCTTTGGGATGGTGGCTCCACACCTTAATGGGGTTAACAACCTCATTTTCTGTAAAAAAATCATCTTTCAGCTACAATACACCTTGCTGGATTTCTTCCCAGAACTCTTATTCTCATTCTCCTATCTTTAGTTTCATTTGTTGCAGCAACGACTGCACTGAAGCCTTGCTCTCCTTCACAGAAGAATTTCAAAGCTTTTATCCTAAACCACCATGAAATTGAATTTTGGCATTTTTAATGTGTCCAGCTCTTCTACAAAACACCCTGAGGTTGGCTTTACTGTGTTACCCATGCTCTAAGCATGACATGCCTCAGAGCAAATAATCCAATGGATTCTAATCGGGGTTAAATCAAACTGAAATACACAGAACAAGGCTTTGAAGCCACCATGACCATCAGAATAAAATATAAAGTTCTTGTACTCTTCTCCAAACCTTCCTGTCAGCACTCATACAATCTCAGAATCTTAATATTCCATCAGTGATTTCACAAGTTTTGAAAGACTGATGGCTGCTTAAGAGAGTATATCTCCTTTAAGAAATTACATCAATCATTTTCTAAAGAGGATCTAGAAATACTGTGACAGTTGTCACCATCCACTACTGTGCTGACAGGGTGAAATGGTAGAGGCATAAAGTCTTGCAGAACCTTGTAACTCTGGAGTGACTGACAGAGCATATATAACAAATCATGTTAAAACTGTTTGAGAGACTGATCTGTAACCTCACAGTTAATGGATATACTGCTATTGATTTCAGCAAATGGTACTTTGGGGCACTAGTTACTAGAAAAGTGCAATGTCAGCAGTAAATAGTAAAATTAACTAATTGTTCCAACTGAACTTTTATGAGAAAGTAATCAGATAAATTTGAATACTTTCTGCTTTATAACTGAGAAGAGTATTTAAAGATGAAAATTTGCAATATTTGGATATTGCTGTGTGATAACTACAAATATGATACGTACTTTTTATGCTTCTTTTCTTAAATTACAGGGGTTTTATCATTTGATTGTACCACAGTGTCTTCTTGAATATTGGTCAAGAACTTCCGTTGTGCAATCTTTGCCCTGAAATTCCTGTGGTTTCATGATGCCCCACTGTCCTAGTTAGGATAGCTGGGACCAGTTCATCACTGGATGGGTGTAACTCAAAACTGTGTATTCTACAGCCTTCTATGCCATTTCCCAGAAACTGTTATCAATAGACCATTTACACCATCTACCCAGAGCAGCCTGACTCCTCAGGCTACAGACTGGGTGTTAAGAGGCCTGCGAGACAGGAGGGTGCTCCTGTCCTCACACCCATTGTGGAACTCCCCGCCCTGAGGGAGGTACTGAGCATTCCTGCCTGAACTGGAAGATATATAATCTTGGAGTCTTGGGACCTTTTTAACCACTCGTGGGATCCAGAGTAAGACTGCAGACCATCACTCTCAACCAGATTGCAGACCACCACTCTTTACCAGACTGCAACAGCACTCTCAACAAGTTTTTTCCCTCTCCTTTTACTTTGGATTCAGGGGGCCCAACGAACACCACTCTGTTCATGCCCCAGGGTGCTGGGTTATGCATTTGGGTTTTGTGGGTTAAAGCCAATTGTTTGTCCGTATAATCATAATTACTGTATTATTTTATTAAATTGTTACTCTGATTTATAATCTCTCCTTTGAGTTGGATTCATTTCCCCTGCTGGTTTGCCTTTAAACCAGCACACCCACAAAGAAAGGTTTACACACAACACTTAGAAATACGTACAATTTTGCTAAATATCTGCTAACCACACACCAGCTGGGAGCTCCTCAGTACTGGGGAGCCTTCTGAAGGACACGTGCAGGAAACGGCTCTGCGGCTGGTCGGCAAAGTCCCGCCCTTGGGCAAAGCTGTGGAGCAGATCAAGTACAGTGAGAACAAAGTGCAGCTGAGGTGGTCAGCACACACAGACACATAAACACACACACTAAGAGAGAGACTGGAGCACATACAGATCCCATCTCATGAACCCAAAGACAAAACCTCTGCAGAAGGGTAACATGGACTGCTCAGAACAAGAACTGGTTTGGAAATGGCACGATTTGCACACTGCATGCTGATTCACCAAAACCCTAAGGTAAAAGCTGTCCACATTTTTCTACAGTATTTTCTTGTTGCTATTTTAATCCTTTCCCATGTGCAAAACTATTTCTGAGTATTACAGTATACAAAGAAAAAAAAAATCTCAACGTGTCTAAAATTTTTTGTATAATTCTCCAGCAGTGATAAAAAAACTAATCTAAAAATAAACTTTGCAATATAATCAGCTGAAGAGGTAACCTAATTTTCAAAACCACTGTGGAAAACACCAGTGTAATATGCAAGAGATGAAGTTCCATGGTTAAAAAATTAAAAGAAAAACAAAATGAAAAAGCCCCAAAACAAACAAGGGAGATCAGGAATTATTACTGCATCTCATTAGCCAAGTAACTTTTCTTTTAGAGGTAAGTCATTAAAAAGAGTGTACAAGCACATTGGCTGGGCTGTATTAATTTTAAATTCTTTCTTTTTTGAAGAATAGACAGATATATTTCAATATTTTTATATTCACTGCATAAAATAAGGCTTTATTCCATAGGGAGTCCACATAAGTTGTTACAGCAATATGTTAATCTCACCTTATTAGTAACTTCCACTCTGAATCATCTGACCAGAAGAGGAAACTGGAAAAGTAATCTCTCTGCCAGAGCAGTCAAAACACCACATCTACTGCCAATCTAGTGAAAACTCCTTGTAATTAAACATGGCAATACCCTATGCATTTTAGGATATTTTAAATAAAACATCTTAGGTTAACTGGTGCAAAAGATATAGAGGGGGATACTAAAAACAACTGACCTGAAGACCAAAAAAAATTAACAACAAAAATCAATAAATAAGTAAAATTGGAAACAGTAATAGTAAGGAAAAAATAGTGTTATATTTCAAACTGCTTTACAGTAGTTTGAGATTTATTTTACCAGTTCTTGTTTCATAATGTATTTTAAAGTTCTTCATGAAGAATTTTTAACCAATAAACACTTTTTCTATAATTTAGCCCACAGACATTTGAATCACCAACTTTCACTGGTACATTTGCATAAAATCAGTTCACTTTCAAAATTCATCTGCTTCAATAAATTCTTTCTCACCTGAAGCCACAAAGCTCCATATGGGATATATGAACCTTTCTGCTGCTTGAGGACATATTATAGGGGGTACAGGAACGTATTCTTTCTCTGCCCAAGAGATACAGCTGATGAAATGGTACAGAACATGGTGCAAAAAAACTGTAAGAGAAAAATAAGACTTAGCACTAATAACTGAAAAAAAAATAAAAAGGAATGTTTGTCTGAAAAACAGTGCATGTATGTGACAGGGAAGGACAAAAATAGGTAACAAAAAGCAGGAAATTTGCATACTGCATTTTTATTTACTTATTATGACAAAATACTGCCTTCCCCAATTCTCCTCAACATAATGGGAGAGATGTTCATACTTTAACCTTTTTCTTTCAGACTAAGATTTCACCAAGCTCGTTTCATGTCTTTTACCATACTGGCACAGGACTATCATAATTGCAGTATATTCAGAATTTAGAAAAAATTAAAATAATATAAATAATATCAACATATAATATTATCTGGTTGATGCTTTCTAAAATCCATGAATCTTTAAATAACAGTAGTATTTTGGCCCACGCTTCACAAAAGACAAAAGAAATACAGAGTACCTTTCTGCAGTTTCTACTGATCCTATTGTTATTATTTACTCAATAATTTAAAAAACATGTTTTTAAATCATTTACTGTTTTATTATTTCCAGAAGTCTCTTTCAACAGTGTAAAGAACTGTTTTTCAAAATTTTGTCAATACCTCCAACTTTTTTTTAAACATGCATCTAAATGACTGAGCCTAGATTATTAATCACAAATCAAGGCAATTTGAATTTGACAAGGCTGCTTGTGTGAACTACTTTATCCTTACTAATAATTCCATTAAAAGGCTCCTTTCAGTTTCCATTCCAGTCAATGAAGTAATGTGTGAAGTGACTGTGGAAACATGAGACTAAACCAGTAACTAAATATAGTCAACCACCAATGTTGTGACTGCTTTCAGATCTACACCCACTGCCCTGCAAAACTTGACTTGCAGTGCTCTATTGATGTAACAGAATCTTACAAAACAATGATGCATGTGCAAAGCTATCCAGAACACAGACAAATGCCAGAGACTGGAACAGTCTATAATGATGCTATAAACCCGCAAGTATTCTTCCAAAACCGTAAGAGCGGAGACAGCAAGAGTCTAAGAGGAATACAATGAGCATTGTTAGGGAAACAGAGTCCTCTGTGAGCAAAAATTAAATAGACTGATGCAGTTCACCTTAGTGATTAACTAATTTGGGACATACCAGAAGAACCCAAAGCAATGGAGTGTATAGGCAGGTTAAATCAAGTGCTCTCTCACAACACAGAGGAGACAGTTAATGAAATCACAAGGCTGCATTTAGAGACATTAAAAACTGATTAACTGGATATTTTAATACAACATAAAATTAAACAGGACAATTCATTGCAGGAGAAGAGTAAGAGATTAGAAGTGGATTATACATTTCAGTGGTTGCACTCATGCTTACAAAGCACGTGTGCTCTCGTGTCTGAGGAAGCCGCCAGTCACTGCTGAACACAAATGGGGATTTTTCCCTCTTCCTCAACCTGTTCATTGCCCAGTGAGCAATAAGACCTAGAACACCCTCATGGCAGGGGCAACTCTAAAAAATGGCCAGCATTCTGTGCTGCTAAAAGGTCCCCTGTGCTAAGTGAGCTGTAAGAGCTGGCCATGTGTCTGTTCTGACACACAGCACAGCCAAAGCAGTTAGGCTTAGCTGACTGCTCTTTCTGGAGGAAGGGCAATGATGAAAACCAAAGAATGACTAAAGGGAACAGTTAAAATTGATATTTTTTCGAACAGCCAAGATGCATGGACATAAAAAATTAAACCTACTTGCCTGACACATGTTAACATGACAGTAACATTGTGCTCAGGGACAAGTTAAGATACTACTTAGGCCACCGGACCAGCTTTGTAAAATAGCAAGCACTGCATATGGAAAATTGTCCACCTAGAACCTAAGTTAGGTCTCACAAAGATCAATGCTCTGCCATGGGGCAGGGATTTGCCAGCTCTAAGTTGTCAGAGAGGGGCTGCCTCCTATCCATGGTGAAAACATGAAAAAATCCTGACACAAAGCCAGCCTGAAGTGCATGGGTCCGGCTCCTGGGTGACTGCTCAAACCTCACAGGCATTTTTGTTTGCTGTTTCAGCAAGTACTTGATATTTCATAAGTTCTTCAACAGATCTCAAGAGGGATCTACATTAAATTACTGAAGGTTCGGACTAGTTTGTTCCATTTGCAAAGTTAATGGAAGTTTTATGAGTAGCAGCTTTAAACAGTACCTTACATTAAGCAAGTTCCAGGATCCTGTCTTGACCCTCTTCCTATTGCCCCTTGATAAGAGTAATGGACAGTGCTTTTACTACTGCTACTGCTCCTGGTCTGATCCTTCCTGCTTTTTAAGGCAAAGCTGACATGCCATGAGAGGCAGCTAATGCCACAGGGTAAATCAGTTTTCAGGCACTAGGTCAAGAGACTCCAGAGAGCAGTCCTACAAACCTGAGCGTGTGGGCCTCTGCACAGGAATAACACCATGTCAGCCTCAGGCAGGTAACACATGAGGAAGCCATGGTATCAATCATTAAATAAATACACTTCCCCTGGCTAAACTGGGAGATACTCATGTCAAGACAGATGTAAAATCAAAATGACTGTGTTCCCACTGGAGTTTTGAAAGATAGAAATGTACAGTGTCGCTGCTCATCATATGGAGACCTATACAAAAGTTTAAAGCTGCTTTTTTTAATCGAACCTGGATTTTTCTAAATGTCTCTCAGAGTTCAGCTGAAATGCATCCAAGTGGAAGTGTCTGGCTTTAACAAGGCTTCATCTTCCTAATCTGACAGGTTAAGAAAAAGCTAATATCAGGATAAAGGGACCTTACTCCAGCCAACAAGATGTACAATCCAGTCCAAGAGAAAGATAGATGACTGCTCTCTATGACTCCACTCATACTTGCCAGACAAGTCTTAGCCAACTAATAGTGGCTTAAGCACTCAAAAATAAAATAAAATAAAAAAATAAAAAAGGTTATAGTTGTTTTTTTTCTGTACATATTCTTTTCCCCACTCAGTACAGTGTACAGAAATGTTAACAACAGGAGTATTAAGAATCATAGAATCATAGGATCAGACGGGTTGGAAAGGACCTCTGAGATCATCAAGTCCAACCCTTGATCCACTACCATCACAGTTGCTAGACCATGGCACTAAGTACCTTGTCCAGCCTCATCTTAAAAACCTCCAGGGACGGAGAATCCACCACTTCCCTGGACAGCCCATTCCAATGGCTGATTACCCTTTCTCTTCAAGCTGTGATTGCCATAAGCAATGAGAAATCATCTTCAGTCTACAGTGATTTCTTTTAGCTTAGAAGAAGCAGAACAAAGGCAAGATCATCAGGATGTGGCACAACATATTTATGTCTTATTAAGACCCCAGAAACTCAGAAACCAAAATGGCTGTTGTACCACACAACTCTAAATGCATAAGGTCCTTCCTGGAACACAGTCACATCACATATATCACATTTCATTGTCATATATTCCAGAGAAAACCTAAGTACTCTTACATAATTTATATTAAAGGACATATTCTGTACTCTTCTGCATTTTCCTATCCTGTAGTAACCTATAAAATTCCTGGGTTTGACTGTCCATCTCCCAGCCAGGCAATGCCGCCATTGCTGGCACAGGCTGTGATACAGACCATCAAATCTACAGCTGTGCTGTCTGACGGTCCACTACCAGTCCTCTATACATCTTTTTCTCTTAGAAAAAACCTTTTGCCAACAGATGTGTCTTTTCTCTCTTTTTCTCTCTTTGCCTGTAACTACTTGCTGTCACTGCCCTTCAACAAGGACTCTGCATCCCTGAACCTTCAGGGGTTAACACTGGGGCATTTGATTTTACCAGAGCTTTTCCCAAGGATCCTGTCACAGCGCTGGATCACTAGGGCCCAAAATCAGCACAGAATTATTTATTCCCCAAAAAGATACAGAGCAGCGAGAAAAAGGATGAAAGAAAGAAAAAAAATTACCTCACATAAATGGTAATCTTCCAGAAAGTACAAGACCAACCTTTGGGCTGCACTGCTACAGCTTCTGGGTTTTATTCCTTTTTTTTTTTTTTTTTGTGGCCTTTCTTAACTCAGACTTCTTAAGTATTACCTCTGAATCTTTCTTTTTCAGACGAGAGAAGATTTTCTCAGATGCCCTGAGAAAAGACAGTGCCATCTAACAGCCTTCCCATTGCTCAGCTCCAGGGTTTAGCCCTTTCTGTACCCATCACTTCCAGCCACTGCTTGCTCCTGCTTTGCTTTCAGCTCTCAGCCTCTTCTGAGGTCATACTTTCCAGTCAGACAAAACAATATAAATCTGTATAAATTCAATTGAATTGAACACTAATAAAAGACAATTTCTTTATTTCCAATAATGCAGATTTTGCTTTGATTTGCATTTGGGTTCTTTGTTTCAAAATCTCTTTGTTGTTCTTGCTGCTAGTGTAAATTTTAAATTAAAAAAAAACCATTTAATGCTACAGGGTTCTGAAATGTAGCACTTCTGTCAGAACTAGGACATAAATCTCACCAGTGACATTCCACAACAAAAGCACTATTTTTCTCCCCTTCTCAGTCAAATATGCTCTTTGGGTATGGACTGTCACTCTTTGAACAAATATCTGAGTACCTTAAGGACATCTAAAACTCTGGCAATATAAAATATGCAACATACCAAAAGAAGACTCGCTTCTTATTCATATTAATTAATGCATTTATTCACTGCACTCAGATGTTAAGGCTTTACCTTATTACACTGATGAGCATCAATCTTCCTAGTTTTGCACATTGTAACGGAATGCATCCAGTGATCAATATGAAGCAGAGACCAATCTTTTCAGTTTTGCAAATTAATTTTAATAGTGTAGCTGTTGTTACTAATATATATAATTTCTTTTAATGTTCACATCAATTTGCTCTATTTTATGTATAGATTGGAACTTGCATATCACCTTCTGTAAGTCATATCACCATTTACAGCCTTCCTTGTTCTATTTGCCATTCTTGTAAAAAATGGAGTTTTATGAATTTGAGATCAAAAGATGTGGTCCCCTTGGCTATTAAAAGGTTTCTGAAAGTTAATGTTAATAAAAGAGACCAAAAGAGATTGAAATTAGGGCAATACTCTCATATTTCTGAACTGCAATACCTGTAATTGTCCTTCAGTTTAGCATGTTTCCTTCTGTTTCAAACTATGGAGAGATACAAAGCTGGGGAGCTTTCAGAGCAACATGATAAACAGAAAATCAGCAACAAGAAAAGAGCTGATATAGCAAACGTGCACTAAAGAAGGGTAAAAGTGATAAGAGTTCTCAAAACAAGGTACGTGGAAGAGTCTCATATTCTCAGATATGGTATTTCATCATCCGTCCTTTTCCATTTAACAAAGTAAAATACTGAACCAAAACTACTTGGCTTTGTTTTGACATAAATTAAATATATGGTTTGCTATTTTTGAAATAGTTACAGAAGGAGACTAAGTTACATTTGTGTCGAACTGAGGATGGAGGTCATTTTGCATTTCCCTGCTCCTTGCCTCTTTTCTATTTTGGGTATGTAAAACCATAAACAGTCTGACTGACTTCAGGAGTTCAAAGGCTATAGTGCAGTTTTGACCTTGCTATTGCTAAAAAGGAATGCAACATCTGCTTCATGTTTCCCCTGTGCAAACTTTATACTATCAGTACTAAAAGTTGCGTAAGTTCCATTATTAACCACTGCACCTTATTTATATACCGGTTTCAAACACACCCTGATGGGCTAGAAATAGTGAACAAAGGAAAAAAGAATTGTTGTAAAGTCATTTTAAAAAAATCAAACCAACACTATTTATAAAACATGCTCAGAACCATTTTGGTAACAGCCACACTGAGAAAATGGCGAATTTTTATTTCTTTAGTTTTACCTGTGACATAAGCAAAAGACACCTGTTGATTGCATCACAAGCAATTAAGAAACACCTTGTCCCCTTCACTGAATGGAACAGTGAACAAAGCTATCCCAGTCTTGAGGAAGAAGTGGGATAAAAGTGCATAAATCAGAGTACAGTCTGTAAGCATAACAAGTACTTTCAAACAAATCACTCTGCAAGCTTTGCCCATGAGAAAAAGCTTTAGAACTACTGAAATCATTGGAAACTTTTCTCAGGCTTCTTTGCACCTACTTGCTCTGTGGCCTTTTCAGCAGGGATGAAGCCCTTTGTGCCTATTTGCAAAGTCATCCCCAAACAGGTAATACAACCTAATTTTATGCTTTCATTTGATCATTCTTCACAACAGTGTTATGGATTGTCACCAAAATTATTCTTCATATGAAAAAAAAAACAAAGAAGAAACTTCCCAACATAGGAGAAATCCATATTCAAGGCACAAATTCCCTTTAGACTCGAACATAGAAAGCATGCTTTCCCTATTTAGTTCAGCAGCAGAGCTTTTCCATTTATATGTTGCCTCTTGCTTTGTAAATCTTGACAATGTAAATCCCCAATGTAACACGACCTCTCTGTATCAAAGAACACGCAAGATCAGATGAGAATTATGGATTGAACATCCAATTGCAGGGGATGCTGTTAATAAAACTTATTAACAGTTTTATCTTTGAGATGAAAGAGGTTTAACCAACTGCAAGTTGTTGAACAAACACACGGAGTACTTCTGCTCAAGCAGAGGAGTGAAGCACATTGCACTGTTTTATCAAACTCATGTAGTTCAATAAATCTATTAAAATATTTCTCTGCAGCTTGCATAGATATAGTCCTAAGCCTTCTACAGACATTTCACAGCTGAGTTTGCACATGGACTACTCATTAGATAGATAGGAACTGTAAATAAAGACCATGAGAGCACACCCTGGATTTGTAGGCATACTTACCTGCATTAAAAAAAAAGGAGAACTCTACTACTAGAGGGTTTTCCTGAGCATTTTAATTAAAAATAAATACTGACAAGCAAAAGTCTGATCAAACTGTCAGTTTATTATAAAAGCACTAGTAAAATAGAGCAAATATACAAAAATGTGATGAATAGAAGTTTGTGATGTCCTATATTCCCTGACACTTTCAACACTCCCAAGTGCTTTTCATCTTTCCAAGATACATTACCAGATTTCAAACTGGGATAACAGTCCTCTGAAAGGGTTTCATTTGCTGAATAATAACTCTTTCAAACATATTCAGCTGAGTTCTCTCACCAGGTATCTATTAAACAAACAGAATGTTGAAAATACTCCTCTGGCAAGTGGTCTCATTTTCTTTCAAAAAAGGCTCATGTCCTCTCTCAAACGATTTCTTGAAAGATAATTCTCAACATGTGGGATTAATCATAGCCCAAAGCTTGCTTCTGACATGTGATTAACTATTTCTACCTAACTCAGAGGACACAGGCCAAACATTTCAGCATTGGCACTCTTCACTCACACCCAATACTTACAGCTGTGCCGTATAGAGAAAGGAGAGGAAGTGCATCTCCTGTACTCTATATGCTGAAGGCCAAAGAATGGTATGACGAGGGATTTTTTTATACTATTTGGTGATATATTTTGTTTGAGAACTGCCCCAGAATTAAATTTCTCTGCATTTATCATGTCCCAAGAATGCAGTGATTTATGCAGCGCATCAGATGCTATTACAAGGTTTCTCACATCATAAACACAGCTTATAATGCATCTCATGCATGATGTGCACCAGTAACAATTTCACTTGATGAAAGCTATCCTTATGCCTTTTATCATCAAGCATGTTAATGAGTTCCCCCAAAAGATTAGTGAGGAGTTTAATAGACCAAAAACCTATTTCAACAATTGTTTTAGAGTCTTTCAATGAAGCAATGTGAACTTCTGCATCTAAATGAACCTTCCCTTAATAACTCAGAAAAAATCACACCCTCTTGCACTTGTACCAGGCTGCTAGGGTATTTTAACAAATTAATGAATTTATAATTTTATGAGAAGCTGTACTAGGAGAGAAACTATCCCTTGGAAAAAATACATCTAAATTGTATGAAAGATGCTTGCACTGAAGGGGTTAGGCCCTCTTCTTCCAACACGGAGGTGTAAATGAGAAGATTGACAAAAAAATCAGTGCTGTTAGCAAGAAATACCTCAAACCATTTCAATAGACTTTTCTTTGATCCCTAAGGTCATTTTCTAATATAGCACACAACATTAGTGGAAATATTCATTTATTCAGAGGATTTCCTTTCAGTTAGTTATTTGGATATGTCTATACACCTCACATGTTCCAGGATGGAACAGGTTTTACTTTCTTAATTAATGGAAAATGCTTCATTTCCCACCAAGAGTCCTTTCACCAAGAGACGAAGGCCTCACATAAACTGTGTCCAGTTCTGGGCCCCTCAGTTCAGGAAGGATATTGAGGTGCTGGAGCAGGTCCAGAGGAGAGCAACGAGGCTGGGGAAGGGACTGGAGCACAAGTGCTGTGAGGAGAGGCTGAGGGAGCTGGGGCTGTTCAGCCTGGAGAAGAGGAGGCTCAGGGGAGACCTCCTCACTCTCTACAACTCCCTGACAGGAGGTGGTAGCCAGGTGGGGGTTGGTCTCTTCTCCCGGGCAGCGATCAGCAGGACAAGAGGGCTCGGTCTTAAGCTGTGCCAGGGGAGGTTTAGGTTAGATATTAGAAAGAATTTCTTTACAGAGAGGGTAATCAGACATCGGAATGGGCTGCCAAGGGAAGTGGTGGATTCTCCATCCCCAGAGGTGTTTAAGAAGAGACTGGATGTGGCACTTAGTGCCATGGTCTGGCAACCGCAGCGGTAGTGGATCAAGGGTTGGACTTGATGATCTCGGAGGTCAGTAAAAGCAGCTACACTTTTACTGACAGAGAATATAATTCAACAGAATAGGGTATCAGAAACTGCTCCCCACCTACTTCATCAGTCCTCACAATCACCAGGATGAGCTACAACATTTCTCTAAGCTATTCTGCTTAAGAGTTTTGGAGGTTATGTGTGGATGGAAAAGGAGAAATGAAGGCAATCCCAATGGAACGTGACATCCTTGCAGTGTACGGGTTTGTCCATGCAGTGTTTTTCAAACCAGAACCAGTCCCCTGGTCTGTAAGCCTGCTCTGAGCCTTGGTTATCATAAGGCTGAACCTAAAACAGGCACTTGCATGAATTCCAGCTCAGAGTTGATTAACGCTGACGTGGGGAAGGGTGCAGGCAGAACAAAGTCTCATCTCCCTACACAAGGCCATGCCCATGTT